TTTTCTATTTCTATAAGAGGAAATTAATATATAATATCTGAAATTGCTAAAGCAGAAAATAAATAAATCAGTAATATTGTATATTACCTAGAAATAGAGAAACTATATAAACACAAACACATAAAAGCTGAAAGAATTTCAGGGAGCTAACTTCCAGCATGGAGAAGACTGCAACAGAAAAATAAGTCTTGTCATATTATTGAACTTTAAAAATTCCATGTTCATACTACTTGAAAAATATTAAAAATAACTTCATAAAAAGGAATTTGATGAGTTTTTAAAACTGCAATCAAGAACAAATGATGAACACAAAGAATAAGGAGTCTCTTTTAAGTGCTTTCTAATCAAGGAGAGGAAAAGACTTTTAATATCAGCTCATGAATCCTAAACTCTTTGTCAACAGGTGCCTGCAAGAAAGAATAACAAACTGATTTTGTTTACACAAATAACCAGATTCTATTATAATTCCTCAGCATTTTGGTTTTAAGTAGTTCCACAAGATGGTCAAATCTACTAATAGTCTATTTATAAAATATAATACAATTTTTAAAGGAAAAATAAATTAGCCTGCAAAGAAAACTAAAAGTTGATAATCTCCAATTTAAGTCAAAACCTGGATGTGGAGGCCATGAAGCACTTCCTTGGAACACATTTTAACTTATAAAAAATTGTTTATCAAGAACTATATAAATAAATGAATTTTGCATTTGAATTAGCTATTTTCTAACTACATCCAAAACAACTTGTGGGCTTATTAAAAATGTAAACAAATCTAAATTTTGACCTTTGTTAAACCTACATACAGTTTTATAAAAACAGACAAAAAGAAACATAAAAAGAGACAAAAACCCTGATGACAGTGGCTCATAATTGACATAAAAAGAGACAAAAACCCTGATGACAGTGGCTCATACCTGTAATCCTAGCTACTCAGGAGACTGAGAGCTGAGGATTGAGGTTCAAAGCCAGCCTAGTTAAGAAAGTCCTTGAGACTCCAACAGAACTACCAAAATGCTCGAAGTGGAGCTGTAGCTCAAGTGATAGAGTGCTAGCCTTGAGCAAAAAAACTCAGGGACAGTGTCAGAGTTTCAGTACCACGACTGGCACAAAAAAAAAAGACCAAATACATAAGTAAATTAATCACTCAAATTTCAAATGGCATGACTACTATTACCAACCAGAACTTTATTAAATGGATTCATATTCTAAAAAGCAACAATGCTTAAAGTTCCAAAATACTATGGAAATTCTTGGAAAATTGCCATCTTCCAGATCAATATCAAAGAACTAAATTTGTAATATTAAATCCATTCTTGTCAGGACCAAAGTCAATTTTATTCCTGTTTATAACTAATGCCAGAACAGGGTTTGGAGTTGAGGGTAGGAAGGTCTGGTTTTTTTCCTCTCTTAAAATTTACTTTGTTTTGAAGGGCTAACACTGACCAAGAAGCATAACCTGACTTAAGGAATTGCAGTCCTTTTGTACAAACAATAAGATAAATAAACAAATAATCTACTTTGTTTTATGTTTATTTTCCAAGCTCCGTTATTTTTACAAAAGCAACTTCAGTGTTTGTACTTATGCCCATAATACTCTTAAAAAAAGAAAATAAGTAATTTTACATCCTTGAAAAATAATACAAAACTTGACCTGGAATAAGAAATAACCCGACAAAGACTGCAAAGAGTAAGGTAAATTCTAAAAAATAAAAATGCAAATATGCATTCTGTCAGTCTCTTGAATTTATTAACCTAAAAGGTTTAATTTCCATTTTCCTGCATCAGCTTTATTTATAAAATGTCGTGCCCTATAAATACACTGTTATTTTCTATAGTCAAGCACCCTCTTAACAAATCTTCTCATTAATATGTAAATTTAAAGTCAATCGGTCTTCTCCCTGACAGCCCCATGAATTCCTAGTGCAGAGGATAATCGGCTTTGACTTGGCATCCACTATTCATCATCAAAGATGTCAGTTAGAAAAATTATGGAAAATGTACTGCAATTGATATGACTGCTATCTACTTTGTCAACACTTAATTGTTCCTCAAATCATACATTTACATATAAACAGCCTAAATACTAATCTATAATGATGCAAATAAACTAAATTAAAAATCTCTTCTGCCCTGAAGAAGCTTGTTTGTATATGATATGTTCATTTGAGAACTTATTGACAAAAGCATATATATCAGCTCATCTCAAAGAGTACTGCTACTAATTTTCAATTCCTCAAAGAAACTACTTTGCTACCCTTCAAGCATATCAACATCAACAAACGTTTTTGAAAATTCCAAGAGAAACATGATCTTTCTCTTTGAAAAGCAAATTTAATTATAGTTCTTGTCTAATTGCAATGTATGAGCACGGTAGACTTGGGCTCTGAAGTTTGTTTTGAAAGAAGCACAATAAGCAAACACAAAAACTAATGAAAATAACAAAAAACATTTTAAGTTTAAACATTCTGAGGTACTATATAAAGAAAAGAATGCTGCCCTGACTATCAGGTATCTGTTTCTGGCTTCAACTTGAATAAGCAATGTTATCTTAATTAGCAAAATTGTTACGCCTTTGGGATTGGGAGTATGTGGTTCAAGGATTAGATCACTCACCTAGCAAATACAGATCTCTTGAGTTCAAACCTCATACCATCCCAAAAAGTCTGCATGCCTCGGTTTCTTGATCTGTTAAATAGGTATGAAAAAATCTATCTATAGTCTGAGTAGGGGTGTGTACTCCTGTAATTCCAGCTACTTGGGAAGTAGAGATCCAGTGGGAAGTGGAGGATCCAGCCCAGGCACAAATTTCTTGAGATCTTCCCATTTCCATATCTCAATCAGTAAAATCCTGGGTATGGTGGCCGATGCCTATGATCCCAGGTAGGCAGTGACATAAGTAGAATTGTGGTTGGAGGCCTGCGCAGTCAATAAAATGTGAGACCTTATCCAAAAGTTAATTAAAGCAAAACAGGCTGAGGATGTGGCTAAAAATGTGCCTACCTACCGAAGCAGGGAGCCCTAAGTGCACACTCCAGTACCACAAAAAAAAAAAACCTTCAAAAAAACTCACAATCTCAAATAACATGATCAAGAATGTGTGACAAAATAGCAGAGTAAGGTGGTTAACATCTGTAATTCCAGTTACTTGGGAGACAGAGGCAGGAGTACTGAAAGTTCAAGGCCAGCCCTAGAAAAGCTGGCAAGACTTTATTTAAAAAACGAAATATAAACAAAAGGGCTCAAGTGTTGTGGCTCAAGTGATAGAACCTTCATGCTGTATATATAAGGCTCTGAGTTCAATAACCAATGCTAAGAAATAATAAGGTGTTAAGTATTACAGTATTATTTGTCACATTTCCTTGCACTGGAAAAAGAAATTGTTAAATTCACTTTAATTTAGTCTGACAATTAACTTTTAATTTCAAATAAATTTTAAGATAGTATATTATTTTAGTGTCACTGCTTTCCCACACTAGCAAATTGTTTTTCTTCAAGGCAAAATGGCTCTAAATTTGTGATAAAGTGATATTCATATAGCATTTGTAGTGAGTGACTTTGCTTGTACATGAAAGAGAATGATGTGCTAAAATGGAGGTATTTCTTTTCCACTGATTTCATGAACAACACACTCAAGCACTGGTGGTAAAAAGATGGCAACAACTCAGCCCAGGCTCTCTAAAGTACTGTTTCACCTTGCCTTTCTATTTTGTAATAATTCTAGCCATTCTTTTCTACACAGCATGTATTTTAGCATCATATATGAATCAGAAAGGAGATATAAAGGGCTCATACTTCTCAGTTCCTTCCAGCTATGATCAAATCCAGCTTGTGATTCAGTTTACCAACTTCCAAAGCTAAATCTACCGTATATAATCCAAAATAGTTACATAAAAATTAAGAAGGAAGATATATGCTAAATGTGTTTAATGGTGGCAAATATTAAGTCAATATGATAAAAGCAATGAAACCTTTCCTAATTATTTCCAAGCTTGATGTGTCACCTGAAGCATATATTATGAAAGGTTTTTTCCCCAATTTTATGCACTTTTTCTCACCTTATTTTTCAATTTAACAAAAGAGATATACTGAGCACTAAAGCCTGTTAGTTTGAAAATAAATCATCTTAATATAATTGAAATTTTACTTTTTACACAACTCATTTTAAAGTTTAGAATACTACATTTTAAAACGACACCAAAAGATGAGTGTGCTATCTTGTAATAGTTAAGAATTTCTGGTGTAACTGTAACCCCTCTCCATATCACCTTTACAATAAAAAAAATTTAAGAAAATAAAAATATATTTTAAAAAAGAATTTTTTTACACAAAGTCAAAATTTACATTTCATTCTGAAATACATAATGGGCTCAATTACAAAATATGAAAAAAATAAAATTTTCTAAAATGTTCATCTGCCAAAGAAAACACCTTCACTTTAAGGCATATATATTAATTTTACTAAAATACTACCAAATACAAATGAAAAGAAAAATACAATTGTTTTAGAAATATAAAATTCAGACCAGTTTTAAAACTTAACAATATTCATCTATGAAAGCAAGAATTATCTTTTGGGTAATTTATATTTCAGTCTCACAGCCCACCAAATTGACAATAGTACCTGAAATAGCTGGTGCTCAATGATGTGCAGGTAACTTGAAACAACAACAAAAATTTGTGGATTGACAATGTCACTGTAAGTATTGTATCCTAAGGACCTTTGACCAGGTATCACACTAAAAGTTTATGTACTACATCTTACATACAATGCATTATATACAATCTTACATACAGACATTATGTACAATCACTACCAAGCAATGAACAAATTCTTGCATTTTTATTTTGGTTTCCTTTTGTTAAAAAAAAAAAAAGAAAAACTAAGTCCTCATAAAACATGTAACTTTCTATATTTCACATTATTCTAAATTTGTTGCACACACTTTACAAAAATTATCAATTCATTGTATGTTTTAAGAGGAAGATTATTCAGCACTTACCTCCTTCCAAGGACTGACAAACTGTGTACGAGCATAGCGAGTTAGCATATGGATTATGACAACCTGTCCCCATTCTTCTACATCCACCAGTAAGTTACATAGTTTGCGGTAATTCTTGTGAATCAGATCTATTCTATCAGGACATACTTCTTCAAAAGCCATCACAACACTGCCAGCTACCAACTATAAAAGAAAGAAATAGTAACTTGTTAAAAAATATTTTCTGCCCATCAAAGACCCAACTCAGGTGTTACAGTGATATAAACAGTGCTATGATAATCGATAAAGTAGTTAGCCATGCAATTAAAACAGATGCTTATGTGTGAATATAAATTTTACAGTAACATGACCTCAATAATTTTAATACTTGTAACTTATCTGGAAAACAAATCCTTTCTTGAAAAAAGATTATGATTTTTTATTTTATCAAGAGAAATTGAAATAAATTATTTACACATGGATTAAACACTTATCATTAAATTATTCTTTTCAAAGGTTACCTAAATTTTCAGATTCTTTTCTTAGTTTGTAACAATATTTAGAAAAACAATCAAGGCAATAACAAAGATCACATTGTGTCAGTTTAAAATGAAAATGACAATATGAATTTGTATTATAAAACAAATTAATAAATATTTTTAGTACAAAAACTCCTCCAAATCTCACATATCTTAATCAATGTGCTTTCACCAATATAATTTATTTTCATAGAAAACATGCTGACTGAAATTTGGGTATATCAGTATTACTTGTATAACACTGTGTGTAAACTGGAATAATATATTACCAACAAAAAGTGGCTTTCCCCAAAACCAATTAGTGAACCTTAATCACTAATCTTTGGATTATCATGCTTTTATAAATCTAAGATAAATTTAGTATTAAGATACAAAATAAACAGAATATTTAATGTACAAACAAATGTTCTATATATTTATATATATCTATATTGCTGATGTATATTATACAGTTAGCCAACAATATAATACAGATCTGAAAAAACAAATTAATATCATACTCTGTCTGAACACTAGGGATCTTCATTTTAGTGTCTAAAATTTCCCCAATGGCTTAAAATAAGCAATTAAATCGAAATATAACTTACTGAAATGGTACTTTTTGAAAAATATTAGATACAATGATATTCATATTTTGAGTGTTTGTCTCTTCTACTTGGCTGACATTTAGTTTATTAATATGCAACCAACAATACAACTGGAAGAAAACAGCTCAGAATATAGACTTGCTATTATGCTAAACAAGTTTCAGGTCCTGTGGGGATTTTATGAATTACCAATCAGTATAAACGTGAAGCTGCATTTATTGACTCCAGCCCTGCCCAAGTACTGGTGCCTGCTGGTCCCAGCATGTATGCACCTCAATCGAAAAAACAAAGAATTGATTATTTGTGTGAACTAAATAAAAATGTATTACACGAATAATTTTCTATTTGTTATTGATACGAAAAGGAAGTTAAGTACACGTTTTCAACTTCACATTTGATGTCTTCTACAAAACTTCAGAAATAATGTTCTGTAATAATCATTTCTATAAGATTGAAAAGAATATAATGTCAAATCTTTTAAAACAACTAAGTTTGACACCAAACTACAGAATAAGTTACTATTTGTTTTAATATTATATATATATATATGTATCAATCTAAGACTCATATTTAATTATATCAATGGATAATATTATATATATCAATCTAATACTCATATTTAATTATATCAATGGATAATGATTGTTAAAATACAAAAATCAGGAACCACTAAGAATAACTTATTCAATTGAACTAGAATTTAAATTATAAAGGTACTATCTAAAAAAATCAAGGTTTTTTTCCTTCTACACGTAGGAATTAACTTCTACCAAATGTGTAGATAGTAAAAAATTAAATTGAAAGCCAATTACTACATATTAAATTTATTAAACCTATTAAACCAAGAACTTTAAGTACACAACTGCAAAGCATTAATAAAATATTCAAAAAACAAAATACCTACTTAAGTACAAATAAGCCTAAGGAAACACTAAAACCAATAGATTACAGAGAGTACTTTCACACAATAAAACTGACCATTTTAGATACTTACTTCATTATATAATGTTTTGAAACAATCTGACTCTAAGCTAACCACTAACGGAAGAATTTATAATATTGGTCTATTAAATGTTCAATATTCTATAAAACATTCAGAATTAAAATAAAATGATCTACTCAGATTTTAACACCAAAAATATTGGTTTCCAAAAAACAGACAGTTAATTTCCATCTCACTATGTCAATAGTAGCTTTTCATATAAGGGGAAAAATAAATCACTCCAACAAATCTAGCAATGAGCTCATCAAATTCAAATGCAGTTTTCCATTTATGTATTTTTTATATTAAAGCAATAAGCATGGTTCATTTATCTCCCCTTGGTTGCCATGTTTTTCTGTGCTGTTGCTATGAACTTCAGCCATTAGCTGTGCTCCAAGGTAAACTACATGAACCATCAACAAAAGTGACACCCTATCTATAGAGTTCATATTTTCTCTAGATTATCTATGCTAGTTGACAAGCTGGTAATGAAAAAAATCACACTAAGCAAATGGTTCCTCTAATAACAATAAATTTTCTATAAAATTATGAAGGGTACAAAATGTTTCCTTGCATCTATTTTGTCATGAATTCTAATTAACACTGCAAAAACCTGAGAATGCTGGGTCATCACAAGAAGTGCATCAAGGTTTGATTGATAATATGGTGTAAGTTGCCCAATGCTGCCAAGATTTTCTTCCTTAAATTAATGGCCATCCAACCTGCCCTAATCATACAGCTCAAATGATATTCCCCTTCTTATTTCAATTTTCTCGAGGCATGGAATATAGGAAAGATCAGTCATTTATCTTCTAATAGCTGAATAATAGATCTATCACAATAAAAACATCTGCACAAATTCAGGGGTGTGTTTTCTTTGCCATACACTGAGGCTTTTACCAACATTAAATCAATAACTTATCAAATGGTGTCTTACCCTACATTTTAGTTATAAACTACCTATCAATTCATTAAACATAATTTTGTAGCTAAAACTAAGGATAGGAAACTTTCTATCATAAAAAATATGTAAACATTCCATTCAAGTTTTTCAGTCTGTACAGTTTTCAGTAAGCACTAATAATTTGTTATCTTAAGAAATTGTTTTCTATGAGAAATTTAGATACTATCAAAAAATATTTTTTCAGTTAACCTGAAAGGGCAAGGAAACAAATACCACACTGTCTTTGAGGCATCATAAATTTGTAAAAGTCTGCTTATGTAATTTTCAAAAAATGTGAGTTTCCATCTTTTTAAGAAAAACAAGAGTTACAAATATAAAAAATTCATAAATGAGCTTACAAATGAGAGAAATCTACCTGCTTTCAATAAAGTTATACATGTGACTAATAAAAAGATCACTTTAAAGTTGGATGCTGCTGGTGGCTCACACCTGTAATCCTAGCTACTCAGGAGGGTTGAGATCTGAGGATCTCGGTTCAAAGCCAGCCCAGGCAGGAAAAGCTGTGAAACTCTTTATCTCCAATAAACCACCAGAAAAACAGAAGTAGTGCTATGGGAAGAGCTGAGGAACAGTGTTCAGGCCGAGTTCAAGCCCCAAGACCGACAAAAAAAAAAAAAAAGATCACTTTAATACTTAAAATAATTCTAATAATTTTCACTACAATAAAATTTTACAACCTTCCTTAGGATCTCAACAGTAAGAAAATCTTTCTTAATATAAGAGAAGCAATGGAAGGTATGTCTCAGAAAAATCAGTACAAAGAAGTAATCTTTTAATAGATTAACATTTTTTAATTTACATTTGTCATCAATGACATCATTATCATAATGATCTCAAGAAACTCTGCGTAACAGAAAATAAATCACTTCTTAAAATGTGGAAATACACTCAACCTGATTAGTTTGAGAAATTTAAAAAATAACCTGTGATTACTGATTCTAAATGATTACTGATTATACATGCCAAGGCTATTCTTATCATAAATATACCTGCTTTCAATGAAAGTGTACATGTGACCAACAAAAAGATCATTTTAATAATTAATATAGTTTTAATAAAAGTAACTTTAGTAAAGTAACATGCATAAATATCTATGTAGATATCAAAATGTAACCTTTCTACAAAGAATTACAATCACAAAAAGCAATAAAAAGATCAGAAAACATTATTAATTTAGATACATAATTAAAATATTGCTCATTTAAATATTGGGTAGACAATGTTAAGTAAATCTGAATCGCAATGTCTCACTACAAATCTCAAAAAAAAAGATCAAAATCTATGGTCAGCATAACTCACAATGAGAAAATCCTCTAAAGCTCAAATTATATGTAAACAGAACAAACTAAATACCAGAAAGCTATTTTCTTGTTTATATTACAAAACTTCATAAAGACCTATGACAGAATGATTTAAAAAACAAACACTGAATAAAGCAGACAAGACTTAGTGATAAACACAAAATTAAACTGAAATCAGTAACAGGAAGAATATCACAAGTGAGTCTGTTTTTAGTGCTAAGATAAAATATCCAAGAAAATACGTAAAGAAGGAAGTATTTATTTTGGCTCATGATTTCAGAGGTTTCAGTCCATGATTACTTGGCTCCCTTGCTTTCTGACATACATACTGTGTAGTGAGGCAGATCATAGAGGGGCACGTGTGCTGGAGCAAAGAAACTCACTCTAGGGCAGACAGGAGTCACAGTATAAGAAAGGAAGGGGCCAGGAAAACCATATATTCCTCAAAAGAACACTTTGGTGGTCTACTTCGTACTCCAACGAAGTTTCACTTTCTAGCAGCCCATGCAGTATATATAAACTCATCAATAAAGTTACCTGTGAGGAAGTTAGCACCTCATCATTTAATCACCTCTCAACAGTGCCCTCAGATAGTAACTAAGCCTTCAATAGAGCCTTCTGAAGGTACAATCCAACCAGAATACTATATGTGAAAATACACTGAATAAAGATTTCTGACAGGTCAGAGCAGACTACAGAAAAAAGCAGTATAAGAAGTGGGGGGATAAAAGTCCCTTAGAAGCTGGACAGTAGTGGCTCACACCAGTAATCCTGGCTACTCAGGAGGCTAAGAGCTGAGGATCATACTTGGAAGCCTGCTGGGACAGGAAAGTCTGTGAGATGCTTACCTCCAGTTAAATTACAGAAAAAGCCAAAAATAGCAATGTGGCTCAAGTGGTAGAGTGCTAAGCTTGAGCAAAAGGAGCTCAGGGACAGTGCCCAGGCCTAGTTCAAGCCCCAGGATTGATTTGGGTGGGGAGAGGGGGGAAGCTACCAGGGGCTGGGAAGGTGGCTCAGTGGTAGAGTGTTTATCTTGCATGCCTGAGGCCCTGGGTTCGATTCCTCAGCACCACATAAGCAAAAAGAAAAAAGCTGGAAGTGGCACTGTGGCTCAAGTGGTTGAGCTGAAGAGCTCAGGGACAGCGCCCAGGCCCAGAGTTCTGGCCCCAGAACTCTACCCAAAAAAAAAAAAAAAAGAAAAGAAAAAAGAAAAAGAAAGGCTGGCTTAAAGCCACCAAAAGCCACTTTAGGCTGATATAAAGGAAGAAAATGTTTAAAGAGGCAGTAGTTAAAATATATAGCTGTCAAAGAAACTCCAAGCTATATAAAACAAATTACTGACAAAGAAAATGACTGCAGGTGGTTTTAAATTAATATTTAAAACTATAATGCTAAAAGAAAATAATTTGGCCAGAAATAACATAATTTCTTGGATTATTTTGAAATGCTCACTGTATACTAGGAAAACTTTAAGTCACTTCAACTAACCCTGAAAGAGATGTGTTACAAAACTCTAAGATCTCATTTAATACAGATTCAGCTTACACATTTCATTTTACATTGAAAGAAGGCAAAAATGAACACCATTTCTGATGGTCCAGCAAAAATAATTACAAGAGGAATTAGACTCCTAGAAATTGAAAAACAAAATCGAGAGCTAAATTATCTGTTTGAAGACATAATATATTCTATAGGGAAAACTGAGGGAAATGAATGAGAAAAATTAATCCAAACAATAATATTCAGTAAGAAGAAGGTATAAAACTGTAATTTTTAAAATAGCATAAACTCAAGGACATACAATAAAGCAACTTCGATCTTCCCTTTCATAAAGGAAATAAAAATAAACATAAAAGAACTTTAAACCAATATTTAACTCCAGATACTAATACCTATCCTTCTACTTCCCGAAGAAGTCCATGCTAACAATTCTAGAATACTTTCTCGTGCAAGTACTATAATCCTATAATCTTATAATCCTAGCTACTCTGGAGGCTGAAATCTGAGGATCCACATTCTAAACCAGCCTGAATAGAAAATTCTGAGACAATCTCCTCAATTAACCACCAAACAGCTGGAAGTGGAGCTGTGGCTCAAGTAGTAGAGTGCTAGCCTTGAGTAAAACAAAAGCTAAGGGGCAGCATCCATGCCCTGAGTTCAAGCCCTAGAACCAACACACATACACACACACACACACACACACACTGAGTTCAAGCCCTAGAACCAACACACACACACACACACACACACACACACACACACAACACCCCCAAAACATTTGCAGGTTGTACTAAGTGATACATGTCCTGAGTTCAAGCCCTAGGATCAACACACACACACACACACACACACACACACACACACACACACACACACACACACACACACACACACACACACACACACACACACACACACACACACACAAAACATTTGCAGGTTGAACTAAGTGAAACATGTCTATGATCTCCAAACTAAGGAGGCAGAGGCAGGAGGATCAAAGTTCAACACTAACTTGGACTACACAACGGGCTAGCCTACATAGAAATACCCTTTCTCAAAACAAAGCAAACACATTTGGGGCTGGGAAGGTGGCTCAGTGGTAGAGCGCATGCCTTGCATGCCAGAGGCCCTGGGTTCGATTCCTCAGCACCACATAAGCAAAAAGAAAAAAGCCAGAAGTGGCGCTGTGGCTCAAGTGGTAGAGCGCTAGCCTTGAGCTGAAGAGCTGAGGGACAGCGCCCAGGCCCAGAGTTCAGGCCCCATGACTGGACCCAAAAAAAAAAAAAAAAAGAAAACAAAGCAAACACATTTATAATACTAATACTAAAACACACCACTCTTGATTGTTCCATATCTCTAACCCTTCTTATTACTTCATTTTAAAACTATTACTTGTTCTCAGGTAAGTCAATATTTTATAAATCCTAATAAATTACTGAATTAAAAAATTCAACTGAGGGAGAGGGAGAGGGGTTGGGGAGGTGGGGAGGTCAGGAGGAATGGGGTAGTAGGGGAAAAACAAAGGAGGAGGTAACAATGCTCGAGAGGAAAAGTACTTATTACCTTAGTCATATAATTGTAACCCCTCTGTACAGTATTTTTACAATAAAAAACATATAAAAAAATCAACTGTAACCTAGAACAAATCATGTTGTGAGGTAAGCCAAGCTCAGAGAGACAAATAGCATATGTTTTCTCATATGTGATCCCAGATCTAAAATACACCAGGACATGATAAATTATTCATAGACAGTGAGATCAAAGGAGATCTTAAGGGAGGAACACAACAGTGCAATGCCTATGTGTCTCTGATCATATAAAATAATATTTATCTAAATGAACTCCAGTAAATGAAAACAAGAGGTTTTTACTTTGTTGTTATTTTTGTTTTCTTTTCATCTTGTTTTTTCATTTATCTGTCTTTGGGAAGGTAAAGGGGGAGGGGGATAGAAATGGAGGGACAAAGGCAATAGTGGTATTCACTAGGCACTATGCTGAAAATGAACTATACAACTTCAGTGGGGACAGGAGGGAAAAACTAGGAGAGTGAAGGAAGGGGTGACACTATCCAAAAAGAAATGTACTCATTGCATGACTTATATAATTGTAATTCCTCTGTATATCACCCTTATAATAACAATAACAATTTTTAATTCAACTGTAAAAAGCAATGAACATTTAGCCACAGATTAAAGACTTTTCTCCAACTTGCCTTTCTTCAGACTCTAACAAAGAAACATGTGCTAAGCTAAAATCCCTTCTAATTACACAGTAAATTTTATAATATTGAAATAATAGACAATATTTTGAAATCAGTAAGTATAATTATAATTATATAATGATGATAACTGTAAATAAAGAACCATTCTACTTTAGTGACATAAAAAGATTACTTACAGTACTTTTATCTTTTAGAAGCTTTTCAATTACTTCAATTAACATTTCCTTCTGCTCTGGATCAAGACTAAAATATAAAGCAGTCTAATTAATATTTCTATTTGATTCCAACCTTAAACAATGATTATCATCCTATGAATTATTTCCAAGATAAACAGAAACAAATTTAAAGTAAAATGGCACAATTTTTCTCATAAATGTATCCTAATCCTGCTTTGTAAAGTTGCTCATATTAACCAAACTAGAAACTCATGCCATTAAGGAAGTATTTAAAGAACAGGCCAGGGTATGGCTCATGGAGTATATTGTTTGCCTAGAGATCAAAGCCCTGAGTTCAAAACTAGTACTACCAAAAATAAGAAACAAAAGAACATGTTCACTGTTTACTAAAGTTGGAAAACTTTAAGGAAGTAATTGTAAGCACATAGATCACAACTCCATTTTTCAACTAGAGGAAAAAATAATAAAATAGCAAACATTTTTTTTACACTATGGATATGATTGCCAAAAAACAGAATTTCCAAGTAAGCGCGATATCACATTGGTTTACCAATAGAGAGATGTATTATAAAACTTGCCACCTAAAACTAAGAAAAATAGGAGTAGCAATGAGATTAAAACATTTGATAGGGGAGAATAAGAGTACTGGACAGCTAGAATCTAAGATCTATACAGAAAGAGATTAAATGTTGGGATGGACTGTAAAGTAGAGCTTAATAATTAGACACACTTTGTGGGGGGGGGCATGCATGTGTTTGTGTGTATGTGTGTGTACTTGTGTGTGTGTGCATGTGCGTGCATGGGTGCATGGGTGTGTGCCTGGGTGCTGTCTCTGACCTTTTTTGCTCAAGGCTGCTCTACCACATGAGCCATAGCTCCACTTGAAGAGTCTTATGAACTTTCCTGCCCAGGATGGCTTCAAACCAAGATCCTCAGATCTCAGTCCCCTGAGTAGTTAGGATTACTGATGTGAGCCACCTGCATTTGGCTTACACATTAGTTTATGACAAGAAAAGAAAACCCTGCCTGACAGTTAACCTCTGAATTTATGTATTTTTCAAATATTACATGTTTTTTAACACTGTAACTATTTACCATTCAAATAATCAAACCATTTGAGTGGAGGGAGGGGCTGTCCTGGATTTAAACCAAGCCACACCAGTAATATTTAAATACCTTATGTTGCATTTCAAAGTAACTGAAAATTTATGTTCTACTTACAAAAAAGAAATGTGAAAATCATGAATCAAAACAGTACCTCAATATTTTTACTGGCAACATTCTTCACAACAGCAGGAAAGAGTTCAGATGCTCTTTTTTTTAGAAAGAGAGTCTATTCAGACCCCAGTATGAACTGCAATCTATTTATTATAGGTTTCCCATCATTGCTGGGACCATAGAAATATACCACTATGTCCAGTTCACTTCTATAGTGACAGTGTCAAACGCTTTTCTACCCAAGTTGACCTGGTACAGCAACCCTCCCAATCTCAGCTTCCCACATAGCTTGGGATGATAACAGGAATCCAACATTATGCCCTGCCCTAGGTTAATGTGTCTGGCAAACTTTTCTGCCTAGGCTGGCCTTAAACTATGGTTTTTCCATTATCAGTCTCCCAAGTAGCTAGGAAAACAGATGTCAACCACATGAATCTGCCTAACCTTTTAAATTATTTCAAGTTACAGTTCAAATACTCCTTCTCCAAAGCCCTCCTTTTGAATTTTATTTATATCTTTATTTTCTCTTAACCCTTATAACATGATGAAATGGCTGTGGTTATAACTCAGTGGTTAAGCATTTACTTAACATAATGGCCTTTTTCCTATTAAAGACATTGTTAGTGAACCTTTATATATACATATAAATCATGTGTTAATATCTTCTTCAATTACAAATTAGTTTTAATTAGCATATGATTTATTTCTTTCTCAAAGATATGACATGTTAAAAAAGAATAAAATTATGCTATCTGGCAGAAAACAGATGGAATAAGAGATAATCAAGTTAAGTGAAATAAGCCAGATTCAGAAAGGTAAGTACTGGGAAGAGGAAGGGGACAAAAGGGAGAATGAGGGAGAAAGTGACTCTGATAAAGATATAGTATATAAATGGATAGGTTAACATAAAACATGAACAGAAAGGAATAGGTAGAAATGGGACAGAGAGAGAAAGACAGACAAATACTATATTTTTTCTCTAATATATTAGTTTAGATTAGTTTAGGGTCATAATAAAATCCATATAAATTTTTTTCTTTTTGGTCAGCCATGGGACTTGAACTCTGGGCCTGGGCACTGTCCCTCAGTTCTTCAACTCAAGGTGAGTGCTCTACCATTTGAGCCACAGTGCCACTTCTGGTTTTCTGGTGGTTAATTGGAGATAAAGAGTCTTTCCTGCCTGGGCTGGCTTTGAACCACAATCCTCAGATCTCAGCCTCCTGAGTAACTAGGATTACAGGTGTGAGCCACTGGTGCCTGGCAAAATGTTTTAAAGAAAGTTGACTGTTAAATAGCACAGCTTCTACTGATTTATATATCTAACACAAATTGCACAACACTATGAAAACTACACCAGAAATCAAATTGTCTCAAGAAAGCTTGCAGATGTTTTATGTTACATGTGAGACATCTCTTGGAAAGAATCACTCTTTAGGAAGTAGACAGCAAGAATAAAAATGAAAGAAAGGGAAATGAAGATAAGTGAGTTGTAAAGATAATATACTTAAGATTCTACTCTATACTAAAAACAGGAAAAATCTTCCAATTCTCTAATAATACATATATGTTTTTATGTGTGTATACTAGACAGACTATATAAATGAGAATTCTGATTTTTACTGTTTTCAAATTATAAAAATCATCCCAGGACCTAGTACACTAATAACAAATAAAACTATGCATGGGATCTCTATAGCCAAGACAAAATTAAGGATATGTATAGACTATCTGTAGAAGAAAAAGTCATTTCACCTGAGTATGAGATCAGGATAGTCACAAGAGTTAGTCTTAGTGGGGTACAACATTCCATGTAATGTAACGGATCTTTAGTATTACTCGTGAAAGACCTACCTGTACAATTTCTGTATTGCATGGGCTGCATTTTTCCTAACATATGGTGATAAGTCAGCAGCAGCTTCCTTAATAGCAAGCATCATGATAGGAACAATAATTGGCACTCTGATACTTGACAGAACTCTCAAAGCACTTGCACGGATTAGTTGATTTGGATCCTAAGAACAGTGTAAAATATGCATCAAACTGAAAGTTCATAATTTTTAAAGACATCTTATGTCACATAAATTACAGGTGCTTACTAGAAATAGTAAACATATTAAAATAGCAAAAGTCAGTCTCTTAATTTAAAATGAGAAAGAAAAATAAATGTTTACGTCTCTGAACAAGATTTAAAGAAATGTTAAGATTATAATTTAAGTTGATTTTTATTACTAAATGTGCTGAGATTTTAGCATCCCTAAAAAGTGACTATGTCATAAAAAATGTCTTGTTCTCTACATATTTTCAATAACTAGTTAGTAGAATTATATAAACAATTCTTTGACACATGGAAATAATTATATTGCACATAAAGAAGCACACAGAAGCTAAAACTTACAAAGCAAAATTCTACCTGATTATATAAGTCATTTTCTAGGTGTATTAAGTAGGCTCTATAGGAGGCTTGGAGGCTTTTTAACTCTTTCAAGACACCACTGGGTTGTTTAGTGGATTATTGCTCCACTTCTTTAAATGACACACCTTCAACTGTGCAGAAACCTTGTAGCTATTTGCCTGCTTAGTTCAACATTTACCTTCAAAGCGCGCTGAAAAGTGCTTATGGACAAGAGTGCCAAATCCTGCTGTTCTTCAGCATATCGGACCAGATAAACATATACCAACTTCTTGATCTGTTTAAAAAAAAAAAAAAAAAACAACAGTCATTTACTCCAAGCCAGAGTGAAAATTTAAAACTCAGTATTTTCTATACCAAAATTCATTTTCAATTTTCCTCAGGTAAGTAATGGAACCCAATAGTCACAGAGCAGGCTGCAGGATAATGACTGGCAACAGAAAAAGCTTGAGAAGTAGGCACTTTCATAATTCAGTCTATAACAGTAACATCCTGTCAAGATATCCCTTCCTAACAAAGGAAATTCCTGAGCAAAGCCCATACAAGAATATTAAAATGTTAACTGATTGAGAAAATATTTCAAAAATCAAAGACATAAGTAAGAAGAATAATTTAAGCCCTGCTCTGGTATTGGAGCTTATGTTTCTTCATCTATTAAAAGTTGCTGGAGCCTGACTCTTCATATGCTATTATTCATAATCCAGCATATATATCTAGCTCAATAAGAATGTGTGACAATGACAACTTAATGTAATAGAAATTCCAAAAATGATTAGATATGTTTTTTGAATGTCATTTTTAAAGGCAATACAACTACTAAATTTTAAAGAAAATAATGAATGGAAAAAACAAAATAAAAATTAGATTTTGATCAGTTTTAATTTCAGTTGCTTCCTTCTATCTCATAACCCCTAACTCCTTAACCTCATTATTGAGGTATCACTATTAACAATCTAATAAGAAACTCACTTCTTTAGTAAAAGTGAGAATGACTTCATTCTACAGATTTATTATCAATGTACTTCCCATCTAAATTTATTATCAGCCTCTGTATGCTTCGTGTTTAAACCAGTAGTTCTCAAATTTCAAAATCTGCATAATCCAAAAACAAATGTGTTAAATAAAATGATTTTACAAAAAAATAGGTTTAAAAATTAGGTCACATTGTTTTGTAAGATAGGAATCAATATAAACTATAGCTAATGTTTTAGATTATATTTATGTTTTTATTCTTACAATTACAATTTTATACGTATTTCTCTAATTCAGGTATGAGAAACCTTTTCTCTGCCAAGGGCTATTTGGATATTCATAACATCATTTGTAGGCCATACAAATGTATTAATACAGGAACATGCTACAGGTAGCCAACAAGAAGCATATGTGTCTGTCCTGTCAAGTACCAAATAATCTCTCAGAACTTATATGACTAACAGTCTGGAAGTTCCTTATCCTTCCTAATTGTTTAAAGATGAGTAACTTTCTCCCCAATTAGATTTTGATTTTCTAAGCCTAAAACAGTATTAGAAAGGCATTAATACTTAGAAAACCACTAAATTCTTGGTTGAGTGATTAATAGCAGTTTCCATATATCTAATCAAATACGTCAGATGTACAAGATGAGTTCTCTTGAATCTACCTTGAATAATATGCACTAAATAATTGCGTACTTATCTATTTTTTCAAAGTATATTGATGGTTTTGATCATCTTTCTGTATCTGGCACTGAAGAGCTCAATGACTGTCAGCTGTGTCATATACCAATACAATGGTTAGCTGATTTTTTCTTTAATGAAGACTTTCCCAATAGATTACTACATCTAGGGTCTAACTTCCTAGGTAGGAAGTTATTGCATAGCAATGTTTAGAAGGCCACCAATAGAAGTCGTAAGTATTGGAAAATTGGTCCTAAAGTCTTTAACTTCCTTGATTTTTTGTTGTTTTTACTGTTCTTTTGTTTTTAAAACTCACTTAAGGTAGCCTTTTCATCTCTAATTATACTCAGATTTTACATTTCTCTGGAAGGTTTAAAAGAATCATTGCATCTACTCTGCTCCATTTCTTTGACATTTCTCAGCAACACCTTTATTTATCATGTAACTGTACAACCAGCTTTAAAAATGTATTATGAACTCCAGAATATATCTAGCAGTTTATAATGGCAATATTGAAACATTCAGAACCACTGCTGAGCTAGCAGGCATGGCTATAATTACTTACTATTGGAAAAGGATTTCTGTGACTGTTATGGCAAAAAGCATAACAATATTAAATCACAGAAGGTTGCAAAACACTAAATTTGTTCTAGTTCTCTTATAAGAATCAATCAATATTGACCACAAGAGGCCTATGCACTGACTGGATGCAGGTGTGCAGAGAAAGCCTACTTTCCCTGAAACCATTCTGTGACCAGAAATGGGAGTAGTTAAAGCTTCGTGACTACACCATTCTCTGATCAGTTACTTTCATTCAATGTTACAACACTCTTTGCTGTAAAGCTAATCATAGCAGAGCTCCAGTAGTCTGGAAAAACACAGGCAGATATGTTTAATTAGTTTATCAATACTAGCACATCAAACTTCATGAGTTATTGACTAAGCCTTTGATTATTTTTGTACTATAACCACTGATTGCTTACTAGGTCACTTTTGTTATCAGCTGACATCTGATGGCAGACGACATACATCAGTTCACCAGTGTGTGTAAGGTAGTATGTACTTATAAAAATGAAATTTTGCACATGATAGCAAAAAAAGATCAACTCTCGCAACACAAATTTTAAGAAACTTATATCAGTTTGCCCATAACATGAGATTAAGCACATTTCAAAAAAAATAAAGTTTTAAAGAACAAAAGCAGTCCAAAACAAATAAATCAGTAATTAATTATACATTGGCACTTGTTACAAAACTAGGCAACATACTAAAATCTAATCGTAACAGTGAAAATTATGCTCATAGGAAAGTTCTATTATTACTATTGAAAAATATACTGAAAATTATAAACAACTATAAATAAAATATTCAGTACAAAACTTTCTGTCTTCAAAACTAGAATTTCACAGGAACAAGTTCATTTAGTACTGATTTCCAATAGACCTTGAGAGTTTTTAAAATTGTAACAATACCAGATGTTAAAGAGAGGTTAAAAACACAAAGGTAGAAAAAAGAACTATCAATGGTAAGGATCACACTGAAAGGAAACAATCTTTTTTTTTTTGGGGGGGTGGGGGAGGTCGGGTCGTGGGTTCTGAACTCTGGGCCTGGGCGCTGTCCCTCAGCTCTTCAGTTCAAGGCTAGCGCTCTACCACCTGAGCCACAGCACCACTTCCGGCTTTTTTCTTTTTTTGCTTATGTGGTGCTGAGGAATCGAACCCAGGGCCTCATGCACACAAGGCAAGCGCTCTACCACTGAGCCACCTTCCCAGCACCATGGAAACAATCTTAAGAGGAATCGTGTGGCCTCCACCAAGTAATTTAACCCCTTTGCCATCTTGTCCTGTCATTTTGGCCAAGGTAACAGAGGAGTTAAATTGCCTAGAGAAACAGTTAAAATAATGCAGCAATAACAGAACCAACATCACAGGGTCAACAGTGAGAATAAAATGAGTGCATCAGTGTCAGGCACTAAGAACCTTGCACAGATATTTTTTTTGCTGGTCCAAGGGCTTATACTCAGGGCCTGGAGACTGTCACTGAGCATTGTGCTCAAGGTTAGCACTCTACCACTTGAGCCACTGCTGCACTTCCAGCTTTTTGGTGGTTAACTAGAAATAAGAGTCACGAAATTTCCTGCCTACCTGGCTTCAAACTGAGATCCTCAGATCTCAGCCTCCTGTGTTATTAGGATTATAGTGGTGAGCCACCAGCATCCAGCTAGATTCTATTCTCTTGGTAACACTAAGACCAGCTTCACCTACACCTCATGATTTTTCTAAGTTAAATTTTGATTTTTTTTTCAGCAATTTGGACTTTCTTCTACCAGTAGCCATAAACTAAATTACATATCAAATTAGAAGCTCAGGTAGTATGACCATAAGACATCAAAGAAAGGGTATGTTTAAAATGATCAATTCAGAATTCTGGATAAAAAGCAAAGAAATATCTACTAAATTGTGATTAAAAGTATAAATATTGAGGGAAAAACTGGGAGTGAGGGAAGGGATGACATTGTCCAAAAAGAAATGCATTCATTGCCTGACTTATGTAATTTATGTATATCACCTCTATAATAACAGTAAAAAATAAAAATTAAAAAAATTGAAAACAAAAATGTGCAAAAATTATATAAATATCTCCCAATTATTAACTGATATCTTAGAAATAAGTTACAATAAGCTACTATAATCTACTTCATATTAGAAAAAGGTTTACTGGAGAGATGTTCAAATAAAAGAATCTACTATACATCAGCTGTGTTTCTGTTATCATAGCAATGTATTATACAACTAAAGTATGACCCAGGTAGTCTTTTCCTTTGCTCTACTTAAATATTCTACTGCCATTATCAAGCCATGATTCTTTTATTTACTATACATAAAAAGAACTGTTTAAATGAAATCCTTTGTACAACTGATTGATGCCAATTTTTTTAAAAGATTGTAGACAGAGGCTGGAGATGTAGCTTGTCCAGCATAAACAACGAGTTCAAGTCCCACCATCACCAAACAAAAAAAAATGAAAAAGATTATGAACATTGTAAGTATGTAACTAACAAGGATTCAGTAATATTTAAATACCTTATGTTGCATTTCAAAGTAACTGAAAATTTATGTTCTACTTACAAAAAAGAAACATGAAAATCATGAATCAAAACAGTACCTCAATATTTTTACTGGCCACATTCTTCACAACAGCAGGAAAGAGTTCAGATGCATTTTTCCCTTTTGCAATCATCTGAAAAATAAAAGATGAATATTAGAGCAGAAATTTCTTTTAGATAAGTTATTTAAAAATAAAATAGATATTATGGAAAATTCTACATACACTAAATATTTGCAAAATTGTGACATCAAATAAGCTATGTAAAACAGCCAAACTCTTCACCCACTCACCCAATTTATCTCAACTATCCATAACGAAGACTAAACACTGCTGTAAGTCAATATAAATGCATATTAAGAAAGAATTATATGGCAATCTAAGATATATTTTCAAATATGTACAATATTTTTTTCCAGCTGGTCATGTTGTAAATACTTTTAAGTATTTGTAGTGTTTTATTTTTTATTTTCCAATTTCTTACATGAAAGATGTAGTGTATTTGCAATAGGAAAAAAGAATGTTACTAAGAACAAACTGATTTTCATGCAGTTGGTTTTCATAAGTTCTACTTGTTCAACCATTATTTTCAAAGTTCCTATACCCAGAGCTTCTTCCTTAACCTGCTGAAATTGAGTGTGACACCATCTCTTCAAATCTCTGAGATGATTCTGAGATTTCATTCACTCTCATGACTGTCAACTTCTATAGGCAAGATTCAATTCGTCAAAACTCTGAGCCCAACTTCACCTCTCTCATGAGGCGCCATTAAAAGTCTCTCATCGCAAAGATGCTGTCGCTAAATCCAAACTATTTTTCAAGATGATATGCCACTGATGGCAGAATTTCCTATTTCTATCAATTCTTTCCAAATAACAGAAACCCTCTTTTTCCCCCTCATATATACACAATAACTAGGCCTTGTTACTTGCACTTATATTAATCCCTTTAAACTGCTACTATTCTATGCCAACAGTACCTCACAAGGGACTTTTCTATCCATACTGTATATCATAGACAATCTAATATACTTAAAATTATACTCTGGGAGATGAGGTTAATCTCCTGTGGTAGAATATACTAGCATGCGTGATGCCCAAGGGTTTGATTCCTGATACTTAGAAACAAAAACTAAAACTAAAACCCTTACTTTCTACATATCAGCTCTCCCTCAAAAGATTTCAAAACCTCACAACTATCTAAAGTCCAGGCCAAACTATTTCATTTAACACTCAAATACCTTTTACAATATACACGACCATCCAATCTTTTTTTTTTTTTTTTTTGGGGGGGGGGGTTGGGGGGGAGTGTCCAGTCGTGGGGCCTGAACTCTGGGCCTGGGCGCTATCCCTCAGCTCTTCAGCTCAAGGCTAGCACTCTACCACTTGAGCCACAGCGCCACTTCCAGCTTTTTTCTTTTTTTGCTTATGTGGTACTGAGGAATCAAACCTAGGGCCTCATGCATGCAAGGCAAGCACTCTACCACTGAGCCACCTTCCCAGCCCCAACGACCGTCCATTCTTAAGCTCCTCAACCTAATGTTTTACCCCAATACTCTTACCCAATCAAAGCAATCTTGCTCACTAACAAAATATTATCCATTTCTAAGTTGAACTCTTCTACCTATGGTCTATCAAATTCTACTCATTGTCCCTTGTTAGCCACCTTTTAACAGCACATGCAGAAACCAAATTTCCAATCTTACTATGCCCTGGAGTTTACAATCTACACTTTTCATTTGTAATTCCCTATATACTACCATGTATTTATATTATTTTCATTTTATACTTCTCTGTAGTCTCATTTCCTTAGCTCATTCTCAAAATATGTTTATATATCTTTAAACAGTCTAGAATTAGGTAAACACAAAATGATTGTTTATAAATATCACAATAAGTGAAAATATAAAAGGCAATAGGTTTATTAATGACAAATAGTGTATACAGTATTGTATGAGTATGATACTTTAAGCATTATGAAGTGTGTAAAAATTTTTCAGTAAGACCTTTTTATATGACAGGTTTGAAACATCTGTTTAAAGGCGCCAGGCGTGGTGATTCTGTGACTCTTGCACTCAGGCTAGGCAGGAAGACTGCAAGTTGAGGCAGCCCAGGCTACATAGCAAGACCCTGTCTGAGAAAACCAAAGAATAAACAGACCAAAAAAAAAAAAAAAAAATCTCTTGACTTTTTTATACATTCTATTTCCTTACCTGCAACATTTACAGAAGACTCACAAAGTACTAATCTTTGCATGGTTTATAAACCTTTTCAATTTCTTATCTAAAGTAAGATGAGAGAAATCAAATGCCCTTGAAGGCCTCTTCCATTTATTACTGGAGGTTGAATTCAGAGCCTCAAACTTTCTAGGCAACACTCTACCATTGAAGGACACCCTAGTCCTGTTGCTTACAGCCTCTTTTTTCAGATAAGGGTCTTTTGGCCAAGCTGGTCTCAACCTCCATGCCCTGGGGCTCCACCACCCAAATACACAGGATTACAGGTGTGTACCACCATACTAGACTTACTTTTTGTTTGTGCCAATGCTGGGGCTTGAACTGAGGGTCTGAGCACTGTCTCTTAGATTTTTTTCTGTTCAAGGCTGGTGCTCTACCACTTGAGCCACAACTCTACTTCTGGCTTTCTGTTAAGAGTCTTATGGACTTTCCTACCCAGGCTGACTTCAAACTGTGATCCTCAGATCTCAACCTTCTGAGTAGCTAATATTATGGGCATGAGACACCAGTGTTCAGCTTTAGACTTACTTCTGAGATAAGATCTCAATAACTTCTACCCAGGCTGTCCTCAAACTGTGATCTTCCTGACTTTGCTAAGATCTTTTTAACTAAAGATAATTTCCTAGCCATATGAAAGAAATTTCAAAAAATTTCTGCACAATATTGTTCACTTGAAGTAACATCTCAGAAAAACACTACTCTTAAATAAAATCTTAAAGAATATAAAGATATAAGACATCACCTCTCCATAACAAAATTTAGTACTTAATTGTAGATGAACCTGATGAATCGAACATCGCCTAATTATCACACAGTTCTTGGTTCTTAGATAGCTTTATCTAACAGAAGTTAATAGTAACTGACAGTTGAATACCAAACAACAGACTACAGTATCTCTTCTCCAGAGGCTCTTAAACACACAAAAACTACCCAGAAAAGCCATGAAAGTTACTCTTTTCCTACTAGTTAGTGATATAGAACACCATCCCATGTGTTTATTGACTACTGGTATACTGTTCACAAATGTCTGAAGTCTTTTAACTACCTTTTCACTGAGTTAATCGCTGAATTATAAATGTTCTTTATGAACTAATATGTTAGATTTATTTTTATTTTTTGTCAGTCATGGGGCTTGAACTCTGAGCCAGGGAGCTGTCCCTGAGCTCTTCAGTTCAAAGCAAGTGCTCTACCACTTAAGCCATAGTGTCATCTTCCAGTTTTCTGGTAATTAATTGGAGATAAGAGTCTCACGGACTTTCCTGTCTGAGCTGGCTTTGAACTGCGATCCTCAGATCTCAGCCTCCTGAGTAGCTAGGATTATACGCTTCAGTCCCTGGCACTCTGCATATTAAATTTTTTAATCTATATTTTAGATATTAATTCTTAAACAGTTAGAGGATTTGCAAATATTTGCTCCATCTTGTAGTTGCCTTTTCACATTCTTGATGTAGTTCTTTGAAGCACAAAAATTCTGGTAAAATCTAAACTATGTTTTCTTTTGTTGCTCAGGTTTTGCCATCAGAACTAAGAAGTCTTTGTTATGTCCAATGTCATGGAGCCTTATTTCTATGTTTACTTTTTAGAGTTATATAGTTTTAGCTCTTACACTAGTCTGGGATCCATTCTGATTTGTTTTCATGTGGTTATCTAGTTTTACCAGCACTATTTTACCATTGGGTGTTCCTACACCCTTACCAAAAGTCACGTGAGCTGGGACTGGTAGCTTATACCTATAATCCTAGCTACTCAGGAGGTTGAGATCAGAGGATTGAGGTTCAAAGGCAGCTGGGCAGAAAAGTTGACGTGACTCTTATCTCCAATTAACTACCAAAGTGGAGCTGTGGCTCAAGTGGTAGAGAACTAGCCTTGAATGAAAAAAGCTTAGGAACAAGTGCCCAGGCCCTGAGTTTAATCCTGAGTACTGGCACAAAAACAAAGAAAAAATAAAAAAATAAGTTCATTTAAAGCCATGCACCTCTAATCGTAACAACTCAGGAGGCTGAGAGATAGAAAACTCAAGTTCCAAGACAGCCCCAGCAGCAAAATCCTAAAGACCAATTAACAGCAAGACTGGATGTGTGGCTCAAGTGGTAGAGGACTAGCCATGACCAAGAAAGCTGATTGAAAGTGTAAAACCCTGAGGTCAAGCCAAGGAATTGATAGAAGAAAAAAAAAAAAAAAAAAGACATTTGACCAAGTATGTCAAAGTTCTGGGTTCTCTATGCTGTTCTATTGGTCTTTATGTCTAGCTTTATCCCAATACCTCACTATTTTGATTACTATAACTTTGTAGTGAGTTTTTAAATGAGGAAGTATATATTTAATTTGTATAATAAATTTATTATACAAATGTATATCCAAATTTGTATATACAATATAGTATTTATATATACAAATTTGTATTTACAAATACTGTATATACAATCAATTTATTATACAAATTAACCAAATTTTCTTTATAAACTTCCTAAAAATAGAGTACATAACAATTACTCTTTCTGTCTTTTCTTTTTTAGGACATTATACTAGCTAGGCAAGTGCTTTGCCACTGAGCTACACCCTGCTTCTATAACAATTACTCATATGTAGCTACTTTTACATTTCTTTTAATACACTTATTTATATTTAAATTACATTTATAACAATCTAGTAACCCAGAATGTGAGAATATCATTATTTATCAGTCTGAAAGGAAGACAGAAAATACTATCAAATGCCACATTTTCAATTTTTAATTTTTTTTTTTTTGATCAGTCGTGGGGCCTGAACCCTGGGCCTGGGCACTGTCCCTCAGCTCTTCAGCTCAAGGCTAGCACTCTACCACTTGAGCCACAGTGCCACTTCTGGCTTTTTTCTTTTTGCTTATGTGGTGTTGAGGAATCGAACCCAGGGCCTCATGCATGCAAGGCAAGCACTCTACCACTGAGCCACCTTCCCAGCCGCACATTTTCAATTTTTAAAAATTGAAAAAGTTTTAAACGTTTCCAAAGACTATTGGCATGAAAGAGAGGAAGCAAGGAAGGAAGGAAGGAAGGAAGGAAGGAAGGAAGGAAGGAAGGAAGGAAGGAAGGAAGGAAGGAAGGAAGGAAGGAAGAGAGGGACTGAGGGATGATTAAAGGATTAAAAACAAAAAAACTTTAAGCTGTCAGGAGGCTGAGATCTGAGGATCAGAGTTCAAAGCCAGCCTGGGTAGGAAAGTCCAAGAGACTATTATGTCCAATTAACCACCAGAAAACAGTAAGTGGCGCTGTGGCTCAACTGATAGAGCACTAGGCTTGAGCTGAAGAGCTGAGGGACAGTGCCCAGGCCCAGAGTTCAAGCCCACGACCAACAAAATTAATAAATAAAAAAACTTTAAACAGGACTTGCTGTCTTTTTATTATTTAATTTACAGTAGTGAGCAGAGCAGGCATCTTTTCTTTACCATTATAAACTCATAATTCTTTCTATGTATGGATTAAGGTCTAATGTTTTATCTTTTTCTCTTCCAATGTTGTTAATTATCTGTTAAGAATTTCTTCAATTAATGTGGAGTTTTTTGCCAGCATCAGTTTGTCTGAGACATCTTCATACTTTTTTTCTTTTTTGGTCTTGGGCCTGAAATCTGGGCCTGGGCACTGTCCCTGAGCTCTTCAGCTCAAGCCCAGTGCTCTACCATTTGAGCCACAACGCCACTTACAGTTTTTCTGCTTATGTGGTGCTGAGGAATTGAATCCTGGGCCTCATGCATGCAAGGCAAGCACTTTACCACTGAGCCACCTTCCCAGCTCCTATCTTCATATTTTGTATCAAAAACTCTTTCCTTCGCTCAATCAATAAGCTTTTCTCAACTAAGTTTCTCTAAGTTTCTCTTGCTAGAAAGTTAGTATCTTTCAGAAATTAATAGCTGTATTTGCACAGATCATTATTTCTGCATAACTCCATTAATATTCTGGCTGATTTCACTTCCAGTATTATCCCTTTTCATTTCTACTCATTTTCTTCTTTACTGATCCAATTTTTCTATTATCCATTTTTTAAAATGTCACATAAGTTTTCATTGGGAAATAAAAACAACTACATTCTTTGATATCTGATCAATAAACAGATGCAGGCATATTTTGAGAGAAACAAAATTATCAGTCAATGATCATGATGCACATCGGTAACTTAAACAGGAATCTGTAGACTGAAGAGCTGTAGTAAAGTTTGTACATTATGCAATTACTGAGTTAATATACCATGGTAACTGAAATTTGAACTGTGTTATTGAAAGACTGGTGTTCTTTAAATTGTGGTCCTTGAATTTCCTATTCATGCAAAGTAAGAACTGTCTGCTCATGTTATTAATATTGAAAAATAAACTTACAGGATCCTCAAAATTTCCCCCAACATTACCAAATGGCATAAACCAGAAGGCAAGAATCATGTCATTCACATTCACTCTTTAGCTACAACTAGTCCTTTCCTATCTTTCCCTACTGATACCCGAAATTGTGTTTCATAAGTGGGGTTTGGAATTTAACATAACAAGAAAAGAATGAGAATTTAGGCTCTAATTTGTGGCACTTCTGACACATTTACTTCATTTGTACTGTTCTTTATTGCAATAGAGTTTATTTGTATAATTATGCAAGGATACTACACTTTTCTGTTATTATATTAAAATAAACAAAAACAAAACCAACAATGGTGCTGACAAAAAGGCCAGCCTAGGCACACAAATTCACAGGACTCCCTATCTCAACCAATGGCTAGGATGGTAGCACACACTTTTCATCCCAGCAACAAAGGAAAGTACAATAGAAGGACTGCAGTCCACCCCTGTACAGACATAAAGCAAGACTATCTCAAAAATAACCAGAATAAAAAGGAGCTGGTAGAGTGGCCCAAGGACAAATAGCAAGCACCAGGCCCTGAGTTCAAACTCCAGTAGAACCCTCCCCCTCCAAAAAGATACCATTACATCAACAATGTTTACTAATCTCAAGGCTATTAAATTAAGTAAGATGTTCTTACTGGTACTAGTATAGTTTGAAAAATAAAAAAGTAAATTCATAATTTCTTTTATATCATGAAATAACATATAAATCCTTGAGTATCTTTCTTGGTATGAGGTCAAATCATTCTATATTCAAAATGTTTAATTCTATCTTACAGAAGAAATATCTAAAAAGGTTAAATAGCTAATAGGTGAGGTTTTTGATATTCAATACTTCCTTAACTTATTAAAAAGGATAATCTTACTTGTGTATGTGTATGTACAATAGTGGGGACTGAACTACATTGATTTACTTGTTAGACAAGCAATCAACCACTTAAGCCACACCTTAAAGAGCAAATGAATATTATTTTCATATTATTTAACATAATTAACAAAATATCTATTTTTTAATTAAAAAATAATCTAGTATTTTACCTACCCCAACAATCCGTTTCATAGCCTCCAACTTAGCTGAGTCTTTGTTGCTCTCCAACATTTGTTTTAGGTCTTCATTCCTGTTACAAATGAGAAGAAAAACAAACTCCCATATTTGGACTTTTACAAAAGATATAACACTTTCGTAAAGATTAGAAATAATGAAAGACAACTGTATTTTATTTATAAAGAAAACCTGTTTTTCTTGTTCCATCCTACAAATATCAATGGTTATGTTATTATAAAGCCCACCAAAACATGAAAGAACATAAAGAGGAAACCTCTTCCCAATACTCCTTAATTCTGAGAATAAAACAAATTTTAACATGTAAATATGAGGAAATGAACCACAGAAATGAGCAATAAGAAAGAAAACAAAGCACAGATTCAAAAACTGCTCAGAATCAGAGGGATGGAGGTTGAGGGAGATGGGACACGAAGAGGTATTACACAAGAATAAGACCTTTCTTTCTTTCTTTTCCAAGGTTGTTTGTTATGTAAGACATCTCTAAAAGGTAGTATATAACAAATGTCTTTACTAAGAAGTTACAAAAATGAGAACAAAGAACTGCGTACCAACAGTTTTTTTTGGTCATGGCTAACTTATAAATTAATTCTCTCCTAAAATTCTATCAATTCACCTTTACCCCACTAAAATTTGCCATTTGTAATCTACAATAATTTTCCTAATCAAGTAGAATATTTAAAATAGTGATATAGCTACACAGAGTTCTTAGATGACATTAAAAATGTAGACAATAAAATAAAATGTTGATTAACTGAAGCTCATCAATTTTTTTTTAATCTCTTACTCTATGAATCATCCTATTAAAATTTTGGACTGGGCTGGGAAGGTGGCTCAGTGGTAGAGTGCTTACCTGGAATGCATAAGGCCATGGGTTTGATTCCTCAGCACAACATAAGTAGAAAAAGCTGAAAGCGGCACTATGGCTTAAGGGGTAGAGCGCTAGCCTTTAGCTGAAGAGCTGAGGGACAGTGCCCAGACTCAGAGCTCAGGCCCCATGACTGACAAAATAATAATAATAATAAAATTTTGGGTTATAGAATGGCAAAAATATATGCAAACCCATATAACTTGAGTATAAAGAGAAGTCTTTAAATTCAACAGTTAAAAAATTAAATAGGGCAGAAGACAATGCTATGCATCCCCCTCCTCCCAAAATTCATATTAGCACCATAAACCTCAATATGACTGTCTTTGGAAATAGAGCCCTTAAAGAGATCATTAAGGTTAAATGAGGTCCTAAATTTGAGGCTGTAATCTAACATAAATGATATCTTTATAAAGGATGTATATGCCCAGAGGAAAAGCCAAATGAGAACAAGGTGAAAACACAGCCATCTGCAAGCTAAAGAAAAGGGAAGCAGAAGAAACCAAACTTACTAAGCACCTGGATTTTGGACCTCTATTTTCTAGAATAATAAGCAGTCATTTTTTATTATTTAAGATACTAAGTCTGTGGAATTTTCTTATGATACTTCTAGCAAATTAATGCAGATTTTACTACTAAGAAGTAATTTGCTGTAACAAGTACCTAAAAACATAGAAGTGGTTTTGGAACTGGGTAATGGGTAAAGGATATGAGTTTTGAGGTGCATATTAGAAAAATCTTAGATTGCCTAAGACAGACTGTGCGTACAACCACTCTGGAAAATTAGGAGTTTCATACAAATTTAAACACATACATGCATGGGACCCAGTCTTCCCTCTCCGAAAAAAACAAAAACATATGGCTTACACATGGCTTACACAAATAATTACAGTAGATTTATTCATAATACTAAACAACTTGAAACAATCAATGTTTTTCAGCAAAATGTTATTTACTCATACATACTACTCAGCAATGAAAAAGAATTACCTACTAAACCAATATACTGAATGGAAGAAGCCAACAAAAAAGGGCATGACTTGATTCATTTATAATTCTAATTGGAAGTGACAGAAAGCAAATAAGTGGTTAACTAGGGCTCTGGGAAAAGGTAAAGAAGAAGGGAACATAAAACAATGTATTTCATAAGATGATGTAAATGTTCTCTAGCTTAAGGGAACTTTCTTCAAAATATGCCTATATTTGAGAAGTGTATTAGGTATTGGATAGATAGGCTACCATTTTACAAACTTTTAAACTAGCCAAGCACCAATGGCTCACACCTGTAATCCTAGTTACTCAGGAGGTTGAGATCTGAGGATAGCAGTTTTGAAGCTGGCCCGGGCAGCAAAATCCGTGAGACTCATATGTCCAATAAACTATTCAGAAAGGCCAGAAGTGGAGCTGTGGCTCAAGTAGTAGAGTACTAGCCTTGAGTTTAAAAAAAAAAAAAAACAAACACCTCGGGGAACGCACCCAGTCCTTGAGTTCAAGCCACAGGACTGGGCAAAAAAAGAAAGAAGGGGGGGGAGGGAGAGGAAGGAGGGAGAGAGGGAAAGAGAAAGAGACAGAGACAGAGACAGAGAGAGAGAGAGACAGAGAGAGAGAGATCAAACCACTGAATTTTATTTTACTGCATCAAAGAAAAGCCTTCTAAATTACTGTAGGAAACCTGTCAGGAAACTCAGCTTATAGTATCTTAAGTTGTCATTAACTACTTGCAAAAATTACTAGTTTATAAGTAGTAATCTTTCAGCAAACACTAGGGCAGTAAAAAGAATTTAAAAAAGAATCAATACTAAAATTTTGCTGCTAGCATTAGAATTTTCTGGGACTAGCCATGTTAGCTGATCAGAAACAAGTTTTTCTGAGATCTTCAAATAATCTCATTTTAAGAATGACCAAACATGTTTTCCTTCAACTATCTTTGAGTAAAAGTTGATATAGTAACAAAAATCAATACTACACATAACACCTTTATGCAACATAATCACCAAATAAAGCCTTAGCTTTTCAGATGAAGTTTAAATGTTATTCAGAAGAGCTTTTATACTTCAAATACTAGCCTTAACAAATTCTCATCTCAGATATAAACATTTTACAAATTTAAGTCTAATGTGGGCAGTGAGCACTTACCAAAAATAAATAACAAGGGCTGGAGTTTCAGCTTACTGGTACAGCATTTGTTCAGCATGTGCAAGGACGAGTTTAAATCCTTGTATTACAAATAATAATAATAAATTATTGATCAGGGCATTATAAGCTAAATTGTTTCTCTCTGCCTCCAAATTAGTATATTCAGATCATATCCTCCAGTACCTCATACCTGACTATGTTTGGAGATAGAGACTCTAAAAAGGTAAGTAAGTTAAAATAGGGATATATAGGTGATCTTGTATCAACATGATTGGTATTCTTACAAGAAGTGATTAGGACACAGACACACACAAAGGAATGACAACAGAGAGACAATGCAAGAAGATGCCATCCTGCAAGCCAGAGAGACCTCCGAAGAAGCTGATCTTCTAGCCTTCAGATTTCTGAAAAAATAAATTTCTATTGACTAAACCATTCTGTCTGCAGTATTTTCTTATGTCAGCCTTGGAAAACTAATATACAGGTTAAATATTACAAACTGTCATGCAGCAAGTAAATAAAAGCTAAGCAAGCTGAGAGTCAATGGCTCACATTTGCAATCCTAGGATGATACCTGGAGAATCTCAGTTTGAAGGTAGTCGAGACAGAAAAATCTGTGATACTGAACACAAAAAAAAATAACCAGCAAAAAGCTAGGATGGAGAATGAGGTACTGAGTGTAAGTCTCAGAACCAATGTGTCCCCACTAAGCCAAAAGAAAAAAAAAGTAACATTTTTTCCCAAAAAAGAACAAAAGATATAAAATCTATTATGAGAGAAAATTTACTTTTACTTTCCAAACAGCTCATAAAGTTTAATACAACAACCACATGTGGGAGACCTATTCTTTTGTAATTAAAATAGTCAGAAACTATATTAATAAAACAATATATAAGAACTGTATCTGAAAAATATATAGCTACTAAATATTAAAATGCTAAACAAGTTCACTGTAGTAAATTTAGAAACAATACTTCTCAAGCTCTTCCATACTGCACAGGTTACAGAAAAGAGAGAGAAATTAATGGAACCAGAGACTTCATTCTCTTCTCATTTTTGCTATTTCACCATTTTATTTAATGACTCTATACACTTTTCCTTTTGTTGAAAACATAAATAGGAATATCATAATCCAGACCAGCATGGACAAAATGCAAGATTCTATCTCAAAATTAACCACAGCAAGAATGACTGCGGGGGGGGGAAATGGCTCAAGTGACAGAGCACCTGTAAGCAAAAGGACCTCAGTTCAAACCCCAATACCACCAAAATAATAATACTTCATAGAGGTAAGGGAAAATGGAAGTAATTAAACAGGAACCAAATTAAAAAAATGTGAAGAAAATAATTTTCTTCTCCTGCTTATTCACTTTTTCTTTAACTAAAAATGTTCCCTCCACCAGTGTTACCTGGAGAGACAAGAGCAATAAAGAAAAATAAAACATCAATTTTTAGGATATCTCAACCTCTAGCCCCAGACATAATTTTATTCATGTCCTAATGGAAACTTGGTTTGTTCCTCTTAAGCCCTAGTTGCCAGAGTCCCTATCCAACCACCTTCAGGTCCTGACCTACCCTCTGAAACCAAAAACAGGATCCTGGTATGAAAGCCAAAGGTCTTACACTTCTTGTTGAACATAAAAGGTAGACTTCAACAGCAAATAACAAATGTCTTAGTCACTTTAAGTCACTCTTCACTATATGAATTACAAATTATTACATAAATCTTATATACTAAGTTTTGTTAAGCATCAAGATAGTTAATTCAAATAACATTAAATAAACAACATTTTCATACCTCTTTGCCAAAAACAAATACTTGTTTCAAATGCACACATGTGCATACGTATATTTTTCTATTTACCAAGTTTTTCACTTATCTAGTTACCTAAAGCTTTCTAGTGTTCAGTATTAGAATAGCAACTTTATTTTTACATAAGTGACATCTTGTGGTGTTAAATGGTATAACTTTTCATGTTCAAAATACACCTACTTTAAATTTCAAAGAACAGAGTTTACAAAACTGACAGGTTAAATCTTATTACCACAAA